GGCTCCCGGCTCCCGGCTGGCAGCTCCGCAACTTTTTTTTCTCTGTCTGCTGACTTTTCGGGGCAGGTGAGGCGCCTGGCCCGCGCGTACCTGTAGCGAGCTCCGGAGGGAGGCGATTTCGGCTGGTGGAGTTGGGCACCTCTTGCTGGGGCGGGCGATGGGTCCTCGCCGCGGAGGGCAGAGCTGTGGGGAGCGGCGGGGGGGGGCCGGTGGCACCGAGGCAGCTCCTCACCAGATGCCTCCCCCATGATCCCAAGGTTTGTGTCTGTGTGTGCATGTGTGTGTGCGTGTGTGTGCGTGTGTGTGTGTGTGTGTGTGTGTGTGTGTGGTCGCCGGTGCTTGGAAAAGCAAAGCCAAGCCACCCACACAGGAGCAGGCAGGGCTCCTCGCACTTGCCCTCTCCCCGCCTCTGTGTGTGTCTGTGGCTGGAAGGAGGGCACACACAGCGGCTTGCTGGAGGCAGGGTTCCCGAGAAATGGGCAGCTCTGTTGTCAATGCCACTGGTTACAGAGCCGAGCGGGTGCTGCTCCGGAAGGTGCCAGCCCTTGCTGCCCAGGAGAGCACTTCCACAGCCTCTCCAATGGCACGAAACACGCACAATACATCATCACCATCATCTGCAGCTTCAGGGCCTGGGGGACATCCATTTGCTGGGGAGAGACTGTCACCCTGGTTCCCCTTCTCGGGGAACTTGCTGGAGGCTGGGCCCCCTGACCCAGCCCAGCAGGGGCAGGGGACTCAGGGTGCCCGGGGGAGTGGCAGGGGGCGCCCTGGCAGCCCTCCGGCCCCTGCTCAGGGGGAGCCTGGGGCGTCTGGCTGAGGCTGCCTTAGTTATGATGTCATTCTGATAGCAGAGAGCAACTGTCTCCTGATCCACCATTAACCGCCTGGCTGATCTGCCTGGTAACCACAGTGCTGCCAGCCAGGCGTGGGCAAACGCAGGCTCAGGGGGCCCTGGGGGTCCCCCCACTGAGGACCAAGGGGCTCCAGAGGCCTCACCCCTGGGCCCTGCCTGTGAACCTTGTGGTGCTTCCATCTAGACATGACAGGGACGCCAGGCCCCTGGATGGAGGGACCCCTGTTTGCCCAAAGTTTGGAAAACTTTTCGAAGCCTTCGCCTTCCAGAACACCCTTTATCCAAAAAAAAATTATATACATATATTTTATTGATTTCAGAGAGGAAAGGAGAGGAAGGGAGAGAGAGAGAA